GGATAATTGGGATGGGAGTGTCAGAGACAGTGCGATTGGCACAGGACAGAGCGGAGTTTAGGGCTGTTGTACATAGGGTCGCTATGAGTCGCAGGCGACTGGACGGCACATAACAACAACAACATGAGTCGCAAACGACTTAATGGCACATAACATTATACCTTAGGGGAGCTCTGGTGACCTAGTGGTTAAGGAGCTGTGCTGCCCTTCCAAAGACATGTGGCTCATGGCTGCTCCACTGGAGAAGGATAGCCCATCTCCTCCTATGTGATTCAAACTGCCTCTGAAAACCTGCTGGAGGGTCAGCTTTGAGTCTATTCCGACTCCACGGCACAAAACAAGACATCATAGGACCTAAGGTATGTAGTGGCTGGAGAGTTAAATAGAAGGTGGGGCTCCACGGGCATACACAACTCTTGTCAGAACAGACTCCTAGCTTTACTCCCCTTTGGGTTTCCGTCTGTAAATCACAAGGAAGGAGAACGCCCGCCTTTCTCCCTCCAAAGTCTCTTGGATTCAAATGGCCAGAGCGGCGTGGTCTTTGAACAAGCAGCCCACCTGCCACATTTCCCCTGCAAAGCGTCCCAGCCTGTCCCACACCATCCCCAGAGCTCTGGGGTAAAAAAACTGAAGGGCAGTTAGCGCGGACCACCTCTGCTCCAGTGCCGCCCCCGAGACAGGCCTTCACTACGCGGTGAATGGGAGCGGGAGCGGGACACAATAAAGAACTCGCAGAGACGTCCAAGTCCCCAGCGAGGGTCCCCGTCGACCCCCTCCGCCCCTCTGTTCGGCGTCCGCGGCCCGAGTTTGCAAGGGCGGAGGGAAGCCCCAGAAACCGGCTTTTCCGTTGAAATCATATTGGCTGGAGTGATCGTCAGCATCAGATCAGAATAAAAGGAAATTCAAAGTCCGCCTTTTTAGTGACCATTTTAATCATTGGGCGAATGAGAGCCGCATTGGGTACAACCTGCAGTGCGCAGGGAAAAGACCCGCAACTCCACCCGAGTTTGTAGGGAAGGGTGGGTAGCGCGGCGGAAATCAGGGGGAGGGCTCAGTATAGTTTTGCCCGCCCCTTTACTCGGCGTCTTTAGTTGCCAGTGGAACCAGCAAACTCCGGGCGGGAAGGAGCACGGACTACCTTTCCCATCAGGCCGCGGGAGCCGGCTGTCTTCCGGGCCATTGCCAGGCTGTTCCGGCGGAGCTTGGCGTGCTGTCGTGCTACACATGGAGTCCGCGGGTCGGTGGCAGAGACTTCCTAGCGGGCCGAGCCTAAAGCATTTGACTGACCCCTTTTATGGGACCCCACGAGGGCAGCAAAAGGCAGCGTTGCAGGAGCTGACGCGGACGCATGTGGAGTCGTTCAACTATGCGGTGCGAGAAGGGCTCAACCACGCGGTGCAGGTGAGTGCGCGGTGCTCCCATCTCGCGGCAAAGGAAAAGTGGGCTGTCGGGGGAGGGGTTCCTGGCCAGCCGAGCAGTACGCTGCGATCAGACTGCCTAAACTCAGTCCCACGGAGCTGCTGGTGAGATTCTTTGGTTAGCAGTCAAATGTGTTAACCACAGTGCTATCCAGTCTCCGTGAAGGGTCCTGGCTAAAAAACCCTCCTCCTGATGAAGATCCAGGCACCTGAAGCCACTCATTAGCCCAAGTTTGTTGTACATTTTATTCCAAAGCTACTTCTTACTGAAGTCAGGGCTATGCAGAGGGGAAGGTGATGGCCGCTGCCCTCTCCCCCTTCCCATAACAGCACCTCCTCCAGCCTCGGTGGCTTTGCAGAACATCTAATGTAGGGTCTCCCTAAGCCAACAGACGTGGAGTGCCAGACATTCTCACAAACAATAGTGTGTTCTTCTGCGTTATTGTAGAATGAGTATAAGGATCCAGGAGGGGTGGGAGAGGCTGGAAGCAGACGGATGTGGATGTACAGGGGGAAGAGGGGATTAATCATTGGATTGTACAATTTGATGGTTCGGGGAGTGAGGGAAATTGAAAGAATTTGTTCGAATTTGTTATAGAATTTTGTAAACAAACCAGTGAAAAAAGATAAATAAAAATATTGTGTTTTTCTGGAGAAAGTGATGACAGAGAATTTAGGTATTTCTTACCTCCTTTCCTAAAAGTTTTCTCCCAGAAAGGCTGTTCGTCCCACTTCCTCACTTAAAAACCTTATCAGATGTCACTTCAATTCAATTCACCATCAATTCTGACGACCTTGCCTAAAATACACTACCTACTCTCAAATCTGAAAGCCCTGGTTGATGTCCTTCCTAAGTTTATTCTAACCCTTAGCAACTCCAAGGCCTTTTATGAGATGAACAGCAAAGCTACCTGTAGAGAGTGGTAGAGAAGCAGCTGTTGGCTATTACAGGGATTGTTGTTATGTGCCATCGAGTCGTTTTCGACTCATAGAGACCCTATGTACAACAGCCCTAAACCGTGCTGTATCCTGTGCCA